CCCCTGAAATATGTCCTTGGCCTTATTATCGGAGGTCTTATCCCTAAACCTTGGCCCCAGAGCGCCAACCAGCTGCTTCGCCAGTGCCACTTAGGCCGCTGCCTCCAGCAATCATGGAGAGTGAAGCCTCCCCCCAGCCTTCAATGTCTGGGCTGCGCAAACTGAACCCAAGAGATAGGGGGGAGGCTTCACTCTGCTGTCGGGTTCGGGGCTGAGGAGGGTGGGCAGTGCTTTAAGGCCACTTGTGCAACTGAAGAAAGAAACGCCTCATCCCACGCCTTCCCCTCCTGGTTAAAGAATGAAATTGAGGAGGAGAGAAAAGCGAGGAGATAAAAATAGTCATATCCCAAATCTCCAAAAGATGTGGAATTGAGATCTGGCTAAATGGTCAGCGCACCATTACCAAATAAAAGCAGATGGGAGGATATTCACTCTTGTTGTTTCTCTCCCTGTCTCTCTCTCTGCCTGTCTTCACCGTGTCTTACCTGACTTCCAGCTCCTGCCATGCTGGGCGAGGGAACGGCAAGGGGAATCCTATCTCACTCCATACATCTTGCTTCTCCGCCGCCCCACCCCTCCCCACCTGCCCCACCTCCTCACCGGCCGAGATCAGCAAGCCAGTTTTGGGAAGCTGAACGCACAGCTGCTGTCCGGAAGCACAGAACATCAGAAATGGGCTCTCTCGCAATGCCTCCTCTCTCTCTCTTCTTCTCCCGAGTGGCAGCAGTGCGTCCGGCTTGCCACTAAGAGAAGGGACGCGCGAGCTAGGGTTTGCGGGAGCGCCTCCATGAGGCCATTCCGCGTGGATGACAGGGGCGCATGGGGCATGTTCCCCCTCCCTTTCCTGCCTCTCCAGCCTCACCTCCTCACGTCGTGTTGTTTGTGCAGCAGCTGTACATGCATCTAAGTATTTGGAGGGGCTGATTTTCAGGGGGGGCTGATTTTAGCGGATGTGCTCAAAAGCTTAATTGGACTTATTATCAGGACATGTCTTAGTTTTGGGGAAACATGGTAGTACTTTAAAAATTTTATAGATTGGTATTATTTATTTAATTTAGAGAAAGATTAATTAAGATTAATTAATTTAGAGATATTTGTTAAGTTTGTCAAAGTTTAGGCAGCGTAACTAGTATTATGAGATAATCCCAGGAGCAAAACCCAGCACACAGCACACAGAGCATTTTATATAAATAACAGTGGTTTTATCTACAGTTTAATATTTAGTGGTTAAATACCTTTACAGCTATACACGGAGAGCAATAATATACACGACGAGAGAACAAGATGTAGAATGCATGAGGAGAAGGCTTGAGGAGAAGGAATGCCCTCTAATGGCTTCCTTTATATAGGCAGCTTCTGACCCAGCTTCTTAAAGTGACAGTAACTCTGCTGCCTCATTCTATTGCATCAGCTTCCAGTTGCTCCGCTTACAACTTCTCATCAGCTTACAGCTATTAACTCCTCATACCCTGACACATTTGTTTGATGTATAAATTTTTTGTCACTTTAATTTGTTTTGTCATTCTCTTTTCCCTTTAGGTTAGTTTGTATTTTAATGTTTGATGTTGAAGTCTAATAAAGATATTATATAAAAATAATTGCAGATAGACATTAGTTTATACTCTGAAATTTACAATGTTATATTTAACTAGTTCTTTTTTGAATTTGAATCCTACCTCTAGACATCCTATAAGACTTGCGCTTGGGAAGATGCACTTTGGTATAGAGACTTGACTGTTTTGTTGTGGTTGTAGGGTCTGCCTAGCCCAAATGCCTAGCAACTCCAAAGAAATATACTGCCATCCCTTTTTTAATACGAAGAAATAAGTGTCATTCTTTTCATGGAGTGCTATTTACATATTGCATAGTATCTGGTATAAATTAGCATTGATTAAGAGCAGTAGGGATTTAGCAGCATATTGCGGTCTTTAAAGTTCATGCGTATAAGGGAAGTAAAAGAGATTACTTTTTATGACAACTGACTAGTGTTATTATGATTTTCTCTCCTTATTCTGTAGTCCCACTTTATCACCAGAACTCTTTTCAGAGAACCATGGGACTAAGCTTGTTTGATGTATGCTTTGCTTTTATAAACTTAAATGGAAAGAAATGCATTAAAGCAAGAATATTAATATGCCACAGTATAAATATTGGTATAAAAGGAAACTGCCTGATTGAAAACAAAAATTTAGCTGTGCAAAAATAATGTAAATGGGATTGATAAATTTGACAGATGTTTATTTGACATAAAAATATCAGAAAGGGTGCCAGTCAGCCTCCTGATTTAAATCTGTAATAAAACAGATTAATAACAAGAAGCCATGGGAAATGGTACATCATCTCTTACTCCTTGCTGGGGAAAAACTGCACAAAACAATGTTCCATATATAAGGAAAGAATATAGAAGAATTCAGATAAACTTGTCAATGAATTTAAGTTTGTTTTTAACCAAAGAAAGAATCTCATATTTTATAATCAAGGCAGCTGTTCTATTCTGTTTTGGAATAACCTTGAAGAACAGGAGGAAAGCCATTAATAAGACAACAGTCAGATAAAAGAGTCCGAACTGTAACATGAGAAAACATCTCAGATAAGCCCCTCCCTAACTTTCATGAAGATAAAGGCAGGGATGGGGGAAATACATTCAGACTTGCAAGATTCAGTTATCATAGTCTTATAATAAAACTAGTATAGCCTGCTTGACTCTGGTTTACTAGTCTAGCCTACCTTGAAGAGCTGACAAATTTTAAGAAGAAAAAAATTGAGAGTGAGAAACTCTTTGATATATAAAGTGAATTTATAATTATACTATATTTTACTACGTTTTCAGAATGATGGAAGACTTTATCCCAATTTTGGTTAAGAGTAGCATTAAAAAAAATGGAATTCACACTAGAGTGTGTATCCTGAAATCCACTGGTTGTCTAAACATATTTTCAAACTTGGTTCCTTGGGGTTCCAATCTAGTTTAGCCCCTATATTTATTTTTGAGAAACAGCAGGGTTTGATCTTAACATAACTTAATGTTTAGTGTAACTTATCTTAATGTTTGGCCCCTGTTCTTTTGTAATGTGTTATAGAAGGGAAAAGGACATTTCAGTTGATTGCAGCAGTCAAATTCAGCACAAAAACCTGCCTTGATTATCAGTGTATTTCTGGTATCCCCCCGCCCCCAAAATCCAATTTGCCATTTATTCTCCATTGAGTATCACAAAAGTCAGTGATGGCAAACTTACGACATGCATTTCAAACATGCCATGCCATGATATTCTGGGTGACATGCCAGCATTCTCCAAAACCTGATAACAACTATTTTTAAAAGCATGCCTTAATTCTTGTACAATTTTAGTAGGCTGTGGAGGCCACATGAGGATGGAATATAGTCTTACATCCTTCAGACCCTATGGAAGTCAAGAGGCCTCCACAGCCTCCAAAATTGCACGTGGATAGTGTCTGCATAGGCTGCAGAGGAGCATTCTCTGAAGCCGCTTCAAAAATAAAGGCCTTGTGCAACCCAGAAAAAAAAATCAAGTAGGCCCTTCTGAGCAGCAGTACTTTACAGCAAGGCTGGGCCTGAATTGGAGGCTTCAGGCTTGAGTTTCAACCCTAGAGCCACTATTCCAAAAAGGTTGCCTTACACTATTCCCCAAGCAAGGTATGATTGCCCCCATGAACCAGCACTCCCCAGATCTCAACAAAAAGAGATCACTGCCTGAAGATAAACTGCATGCAGCAGATCATACCATGGGGGCAATCATACCTTGCTTGGAAAAGAGTGTGAGGCAGACTTTTTGTGTGGTGGCTCTAGGATTGAAGTCAAGGCCTAGGCCTTCACTTCAGGCCCAGCTTCAGCACTGCTGTCAAGTACCACTGCTCAGAAGGGCCTAGATATGGGTGGAGGGATAGAGAATTGTTTCTCTTTTGATTAGAGGGGTGGGTGTAACACACCAGAAGAATAAGATTGTTTTTTTGAATTTTTGACACATTGAGGCCAAAAGGTTCACCATCCCTGACATATGTAGTATTTCTGTCATATAGTTTAGATATTTCTATGGTGGTTGCACAATTGTAAGTTTCCATTGGGATTTATGAAATTTGTTCATTTACACCAATAATTCAGAACTTTTCTTTTAAGAAAGGCTTTTCATCTTTAAGTATACCCAGAATGGATAGGCTTATATCATAAGTAGTGATTATGTCAGAGTGTGATCTTGAAAATTATTGCTATACTTTTTTTTATCATTGTTTGACCTTGTACTGAAAGAATAATAAATTTTTTCTCCAGTTTCAGAATGTGAATGAATTACATTCTATGTCATCTAAATTTAGTAAGCCTATACTTATTCTACATGATTTATGCCAAGAATGGAGAAACTAAAAAAGTTCCTTTAGAAATGAATTGCATCATTACGAGTTTCATAGCATATTTTATAACTAAACTATTGTACAATATACCTCTCATATATGGAAAATATTTTAATAACAAGTGTCCAGGGGCCATTAACTGTGTTTATTTGATTATGTCATGTCATTCTTGACTCTTAGCAATAGTAGGTGTTTTCAATGAAGATATGTCCCTGGCCTCGACTTTCAATAGTGTACTCATCCTCATGCTTGCTTGCCATATACTTTATCTAAGAAGCTAGCCTTTTTATTTCAGCTACAAGTAATGGTTTATAGATATAATTTAGATTTAGTAAAACCTTTCCTGCAAAACTGGCCTTTCTTGTATTGGTAGATAACTATGTTGGCCAGGAAACTATTATTCAGCTCAAGGAACTTTTGAAACCAAGTGAAATTTGAGGTATTATAGTAAGTATGTATGAATAAAATCTGTGCAAAATATTAATATATGTTGATAAGACTGAACCTTGGGATTTGTCATGAGTTCAAAGAGTTCAGAACTGTTTAGGATTAAATGAATGGTTTACGTTTTTCTACTGAAATGAGGAAAGTTATCAGTTGTGCTCATAGATGTAACAGCTTTGTTTTTCTTTTAGGGATTCAAGATTTTCCAGAAAATATAAAGTGCTGTAAGTGTTTAACAATAATTGAAGCAAGTGTCAATCCTATTTCTAAGTAAGTGTTCATCAATGGATTTTTTTCTCTGCCTCTTTTATGTATGCCGGGTTTAACATATGCCAATATGGTGAAGGTATATCATATGGGCAAAGCAGACATATTTTATAACAAAGATAGAAATATGAATGTGGCAGCACATTTGCATGTTGCCACAAAGCTTATCTTGAAATTATTTATTGATTGCCATTTATAATTTAGATGATAGGGAAGAATATGGACAGTTCACATACACTCTACAAAGGGTCTTGCTTATGTGCAAGCTTGAAAATTAATATGGATGGGTAGAACATTCTATCATGTATCAAACATTCATCTTTGAACTGCCCTTGTTTTAAAAACAGCAAATACAATCTAGTAAATGCATCAGATGAGTTGTCTCAACAATACAATTCTATTTAGCGTGGGGCAGGATTTCTAATTCATCAGGGTTAAAAACAGACATGAATTTATAAAAAACATAGTTCTGGAAATGTGAAAAACCTAATTTTCCAGAAGAGTTTACATTAAAGTGGGAAGAGAAGCTCTGTTTTATGATTGGTACTTGAACCAATGATATTTGACACTCCTATTTCTTAACAGCTGGTTTTGTTCTTCAATTACATCTCTTTTAATACTTGTTATGAAGCATCTGTGACAAGATCTACAGCACTATCCATAAAATACTTTAGATTGGCATCGAAGTGATGATACTAATAAAATTAGATGTAACAATAAAAATAAGCCTGCTGAGTTAAGCTTGATTTGTGGAAACTTGTCTAAGTCCATGAAATTTTCTTGAGAACAGTATGCAAGTAGTTTATTCCTTTGAGATATTTTTTCAGCTTTCCAATCCAACCTATAACCCTGATATAGACTAGTAGTCCCCTATCCAGAGTCAATCCTCCTTGGTTTTTCAAAATCCAGTTAGATAGGTACTGTCAGCTAGTTGGGCTGCATGTAACAGTAAGGATCACTTACAATTTTGTGATACTGAGGGAACAAATACATTGGCTAAGGCTGTAGTTTTATAACACTGTAATGAAAAGTGACCTGTGGAATACAATTGAGCTTTGTTCCAATTAGAATTCAGGATTACCAAATTTTCTATAAAAAATTAAATGGACAAATCATAGCATATACTTTTTCTGGACAGACTGTAAACAAAGATTATCCCAAGAATAATAAATTGGCATATTTGTTGAAAAATAGTTGCCATTCCCTTAATTACAAAGAAATACAGACTGCAAGACAGTAATGTTTACTTTGAAGAGATGTAATTCACCAATGATATGATATAAAACTTGGAAATTAGAACAGTGATAGATATAGCTAAAGAGCTGTGGTTCATAGTACTTACTATCTAGTTTGGGAATTATTTACGTTCTTTTGTGTTCATCTTATTTGTTTTATTTATGGTTTTGTTAATAAATTATGCACCAAAATACTCATGGAGTGAATTTAAGATGCCTTAAAATGTTTTTTTGTAAATTAACCGATATTATCAATATTTTAGATTAAATATATCAAGCCTCCCCCCCTCTTCTTCTGCACAAATTAGTGGTCTTGCCCTTTGCCCTCTATTTAATTAAACTCTACAATATGACTAATTCTTCCATGCAGTTTTATTTTCCCTATGTTTTTTGATGGAGCACTTCAATTTTGGCAATGCAAATAAGATACAGCATGTAGTCTTATAAATAATAATAAATAAATGATAAATGGCAACATGTTTTCCATAGCAGTAATCCTCAGTCATCATAAACTTGCATGTACATAATTATTGATTCTAGTTGCTGTACAAAGTAGATCATCTAGTTATTTTGAAATTTAATTCACCACTGAAATACTTACATACACTTGATCTTAGTCAAAAGACTGGGAAGCATAGACATAGACAAACAAAAGAAATGGTATAAGCTTATATTATCCACTACTGCAGTACACATTGTTGTTTTATAACAGGCAAAATGTTACCTCTAACAAATGGGTCAGGTAGTGAGCATATGGTTGAAGATATGGATCTGTTGGGACTTACATTTTAACAATTCCTCCAGCATCAATGCTAAATTTTTTACTCATTGTTTTAGGCTCCCAGATGGTTTCACACAGCTTTTAAATTTGGCCCAGCTATATCTAAATGATGCCTTTCTGGAATTTCTTCCAGCTAACTTTGGAAGGTAAGTGTGAATTCCCACTTAACTAGAAGATTTTAGATTACAGAAAATAGATTACCAATTTAAAGACCTGTAAACTAATAACAGACTGTTGTATGAATCTTCATTGTTTTTCAGAAATAAAACTGTGATTTAATAGGTTTTTCTTTGAAATAACTGTTTTATAGGCTTGAGGAAAGAGATCTGTCCCAGTACAGGAAAACTATTGCAATGGCATATGAAAGAATATGACAGATGAAGGAATAGTTCTAAGCTCAGAGTAGTAACAATCCCCAGTGGCCTAGACATTTAACATAAGATTGTTGTCCAATCTGTTATTTTTATTTTATTTTATTTTATTTTTATACCGCCCTTCTCCAGCAGGACTCAGGGCGGTGAACAGCCAAGGTAAAACATAGCATACAAAATTTAAAACAATTTAAAAAGATATTAAATAATTTCAGCCCACAATTTAAAAACACCCCAATAAAATCAATTACGAATTAAAACCGAAAGATGGGATCAAGCCAGCCCGGCTAGATGAAATAAGTGAGTTTTAAGGGCCCGACGAAAAGTCTGGAGGTCTGGGATCATACGTAACTCTGGGGGTAGGTCGTTCCAGAGGGCGGGTGATGCCACAGAGAAGGCTCTCCCCCTGGGGGTCGCCAGCTGACATTGTCTGGCCGACGGCACCCTGAGGAGCCCCTCTCTGTGTGAGCGTACTGGCCGGTGGGAGGCTATTGGCGGCAGAAGGAGGTCTCGTAGATACCCAGGCCCTAAGCCATGGAGCGCTTTAAAGGTAGTCACCAACACCTTGAAGCGCACCCGGAAGACCACCGGAAGCCAGTGCAGCTCGCACAGGAGGGGTGTCACATGGGAGCACCCCGTCGCTCCCATAATCCCCCGCGCGGCCGCATTCTGGACAGTTGGAGCCTCCGGGTGCACCCCAAGGGGAGCCCCATGTAGAGAGCATTGCAGTAGTCCAGGCGGGAAGTGACGAGTGCTTGAGTGACCGTGCGTAAGGAGTCCCGATCCAGAAAGGGATGCAACTGGCGTATCAGGCAAACCTGGTAAAAAGCCCCCCTGGCCACGGCCGTCATATGCTCTTCTAAAGACAGCCATGCGTCCAGGAGGACGTCCAAGTTGTGAGCCCTCTCCCTGGGGGCCAATGACTCGCCCCCAATAACCAGCGATGGCACCAGCTGGCTATATCGGGACACCGGAAGCCACACCCACTTGGTCTTGGAAGGGTTGAGTCAGAGCCTGTTTCTCCCCATCCAGACCCGCACAGCCTCCAGGCACCGGGACATCACTTCAAGGGCATCATTGGGGTGGCCTGGGGTGGAGATGTACAGCTGAGTGTCATCAGCGTACTGATGGAACTCCACCCCAAAGCCACGGATGATCTCATCCAGTGGCTTCACATAAATGTTGAACAGGAGGGGCGAGAGGACCAACCTCTGCGGCACCCCAAAAACAAGGTACCTCGGGGTCGACCACTGCCCCCCTGCCAACACAGTTTGCGACCGGTCAGAGAGATAGGAGGAGAACCACCGCAAAACGGTGCCCTTCACCCCCAACCCCTCCAACTGGAGCAACATGATACCATGGTCGATGGCATCAAAAGCCACTGAGAGATTTAACAGGACCAGGATAGAGGAGCAACCCCTACCCCGAGCCCTCCAGAGATCATCCACCAATGCGACCAATGCCGTTTCCGTGCTGTGCCCAGGCCTGAAGCCGGACTTATTTTTTCTTTGAAGACGTTTAGCTTCTCATCCATGAAGCTTCTTCAGCTCTGACAGGATAGTGGGGTTGATATAAATATAGAATCATATCTGACAACCAATCAATTGGAGTACCTACACTAGTGGATTGTACAGTTAATTGTCTGTTAGACTGCAATTGTGTTAGGAAATAAGTTTTCTACTGCTGAGAAAGTAATATTTTTGTTTTGGCTTGCCAAAAACAAAAAATCTGATGGATTTTTGACAGCTGGTCATTTGCATCCATTCTGCAAGGAATATAAATCCTTCTATACCCCACTATCCTGTCAGAGCTGAAGAAGCTTCTTGGATGAGAAGCTAAACGTCTTCAAAGAAAAAACAAGAAATTCCAGTTGCCTTCTAAAAAAGCACCTTTGGGACAACCATGATCTGGATGACTGAGAATCTCTACAGACACATAGGCTGGTTTAATTTATTATGCAAATATGCACATTGTACTGGAAAACTGGTTTGCTGTATATTAATAAGTAATTAAGATAATTAAGTAATTAAGTAAAACAAGGAGAATAGATCTATGAAAGCCAAAATCTTAGTCATGTTGTGTTGTCTCAACTTTAAACCAGAGGTGGGTTTCAGCAGGTTCTGACCAGTTCTGGAGAACTGGTAGCGGAAATTTTGAGTAGTTCGGAGAACCGGTAGTAAAAGTTCTGACTGGCCCCGTCCCCATCTATTCTCTGCCTCCCAAGTCCCAGCTGATCGGGAGGAAATGGAAATTTTACAGTATCCTTCCCCCAGAGTGGGGTGGGAATGGAGATTTTACAGTATCCTTCCCTTGCCACGCCCATGCCACACCCACCAAGCCATGCCACACCCACCAAGCCACACCCACAGAACCAGTAGTAAAAAATTTTAAAACCCGCCACTGCTTTGAACTCTAATCTTATATTGCTGCATATTAAATCATATTTGTCCTTCCAGAAAGAAAGGAGAATGTGTATGTAATACATGTGTGTAGAATTATGAAAAGTATGTATGTTTCAGCAAACATAATTGTATTCATAACTATTGGTAAACGTAGTTGTTGTGATTTAGTCATGCCGATATAGAACTATAAATACTGTGTGCTCCTGCAACTTTGCTTAAGATTTCTTCTGAAGACATTTGCACACGCTGAGACGTGGCCATTTGTTGAGATAGTAAGTGGGAAAAAGCTGATTATGAAATGAGGAATCTCTTGTTCTTGTCTATATAAATTACAGTTAAAACTTGAACTTGACAACAGTAAATGAGTCTTTTTTACTGATCCCTACTTCCATTTTCTTTATGTTTTCTTCTTCACAAAGTGATCTGAATTAACTGGCCCTGAGATCAACTCCCAGCACTTATTTGCCTCAATAATTCTTCTGTCTAGATCATTTCAGATTTTAATGACTGCAGTTTGAAAATAAATCTTTACTTCAAAATGTTCTGTATTAGAACAGAGTCATTTCAGATCTTTGTTAATATTGCAATAGCATTTAGACTTTACAGCCCTCTCTAAGCAGTTTACAGAGTCAGCATATTGCCCCCAACAATCTGGGTCCTCATTTTATTGACCTTGGAAGGATGGAAGGCTAAGTCAACCTTGACCCAGTGAGAATCGAACTGCTGACACTCAGCCAGCAGTTGGCAGAATTAGCCTGCAATACTGCATTCTAAATACTGCGCCATCACAGCTCTATATAATCCAGATATAATTTGAAGCTGCACAGAAATAGTAAGACAATGTTCCTTCTCCTTTCTTTTCTCTTCTTTAAAGCTTATATCTGATTTAACCAATACATTTGAAACAACAGTTTACTAACCAGGATCTTTAATCATAGTATGTAGCTGTTTTAACATTACAATTCGCAAACTGATATTATATCTGGCTTATCCAATACATTTGAAGGAACAGTTTACTAACCGGGATCTTGAGACAGTATACTTGTTTAATTGAATAGACTGGTTAGTCTAAAATTTGGCACCTTAGCCCAGGCACTGGGACCACTTGATTGAAAAAGGTATAGATAAATCCAGTAAGGGTTTGTCATCTCCTTCAGTGGCCCCCAACCTTTTGGGCATCAGGGACCGGTTCTGTGGAAAAAGGGTTTTCTGCGGACTAGAGGGAGCATGATTTTGCGTGCTGTCTGCATCCTGAGGGTGGGGTTTTGCTTGTTTGCAGTTGCTGAAATGCCACGGACTGGTTCCCCTCCACGGACCGGGGTAGGGGACCCCCAATCTACTTGATCATCCCATAATAATTGTTTCCAATACACGCAATATCATGTATCCAGTTATTTGTATGGAAATAGGTTATGTCAGATATTTCACAGAAAAGCAAGGAAAGCAAGCAGAAATATAATGTGCATTGTGCAAGTTGAAGAATTACACATAGACATAATTTATGAGTTGCACATACCTTCTGTAGCTCACTGATTTTAATTACAGTTGAGATGCTCCAAATTCACTTTGCCTGTTTTAGAAAAAATTGGGAAGGTCAAGTGCAATTTGCTTACTCTTATGATTTTTTAATGCATGAATAAGTATTGACTTGTCTCCTAGTATGACAAAACGTGGTACATATCATTTCCCTTTTTGATATATTATAATTTTACTTTCTTTCATTGTAGTCAGTTGGTTACGTGCTTTAACATAAAAGCATCTATATAGCTTTTACATACATTGATGTTACAATTTTGGATCTTGTAATTTTGTCTTGACAGCAAAATAGAATACTTAGCATGTTGCATTAAATATATATTCCCACAAAAATAATTTCCTGTAAATACAATTCTAAGGTATTTTCAGATAAAATAAAAGCTTCTAAATTATAGGAGGAAAAAAGTTATCTAGGGAATGTTTATTTAAAATATATGTATGTTAAAAATAGCAGTTAATAACTAAAGATTTTATAGGTTTTCCAATAGTTTGTTTACTCTGCAGATTGCCATATTGCATTTTATTTTAAGCATTTTAACTACCTGATATCTCTATAGCTCTTTATCAACCATCATGAGAAATGTTTGAAAACATTACATGTTTTATTCTCTCTAAAGACACTAAAGATTACAGGACTAATAACTTATTATCACTGTCAAAGATTTGACATTTTAAAAAAAAACTCCTTTATCTCCCATAGGATTTAATTTAATTTAATTTAATTTCCAATTTATATACCGCCCTTCTCCCTGAGGACTCAGGGCTATGTACAGCCAAGATAAGAACATAGAATACAAATATTAAAAACAGTTAAAAATATATATAAATTTGGCCCGAAAGTTAAGAAGTCACAAACTGATTAAAAGAATTTAAAAATTTCTTCTTAAGCCAGCCCGGCTTGCTGGAAAAGATGGGTTTTAAGGGCACGACGGAAGGCATTGAGGTCATGGATTCTCCTTATCTCAGGGGGCAACTGATTCCAGAGGGTAGGAGCCCCCACAGAGAAGGCCCTCCCCCTGGGGGTCACCAGCCTACATTGTTTGGCTGATGGCACCCTGAGGAGGCCCTCTCGGTGGGAGCGCACGGGTCGATGGGAGGTCGTCGGTAGCAGCAGGATGTTTTTTCTTGCTAAGTTTCCTCTTTACCAATTAACTTACAAAGACACAATTAATTCATTTTTGTTAGTGCTATAGAAAAATCAAAAATAAATGTATAGATGCTTAATCGTGCTCATGATATTTTGCATTTGCTCTGGCTTGAGTAAATCTCAAAAGTATTAATTGATGGCAGCCTACATTTATTGAAGCCTTTTGTACTTTTCTCCTCTTTAATTGTTCTCATGGGGATCATCAAGATTTCCTGAAGAACATTGCCAGCAATCATAGATGATTAATGTCATCTAAGTTAATATTTTAGAGCTAGAAATGTCTGCTGAATGTGGAATTTAGCATATTTTCCGTAAATGTAATCAGAAATGAATTTAAACCAGTTAATTTCAGCTGCAGACATACAGTTACGATTGTCATTTGAGATTTTGCAGGTGCATAAGAATAATTCAATGTACATGTGTGGCTTGTATTATTGGCAATGGAATAAAAAACTCCATAGCAATTAATGAATTCCTAATTTGATTTCTTTTAATCTTTATTACTTCCAGACTTGTTAAATTACGAATATTGGAATTACGAGAGAATCACTTGAAAACGCTGCCAAAGTAAGTGTCTGTGTATTGTAGCATACAGAAATCTTCCAAGAACGTAATTTGTTTTTTCACTAAATATTGTACAGTATGGGTTTTTTTCCTGAGCAATTCTCATTTCAAGTTGTGACTTATATCTTTTGAAATTATTCATTGGGGAATTTATTTTAAACTATAGTAACTAGACAAATAGCTAATATCATAAATATCATAAATAGCTAATATCATAAAATGATAATCAAATATTTAGAAAAAAGCAAATAAATTTAAAAACAGGAGCTCAGTTTGATGTGCAGTAAATATATTTTTAAACAAAATTCAGTAACACAATTTATATAAGAGCTCATATACTGGATAGCATTATATTTTCATAGTGTCCCTAATGCACTCAATACAGAATTATCTATCTCAGCCACCTGCTGACATAAAAACCTCCCACACCTAATGCTGTATTCAAATACTAGGACATTCCAGTTATCAAGTATTTGTCACATGAAATATATTTTTGATTCATCATAGACAAATAATGTTCTGTCAGTCTGTTAGCTTTGGTTAGTAATTAGTCACAAACCCTCTTAATCCATTCTGATGCAAATTTCTTGTCTTTCCCATCAAATTTGACATACATAAGCAAGATGAAAGTTAACCTAACCGAGTTATTTCTTAATAATGACCAAAGGATTTCAGAGTCTTGCTATGTCAAAATGTCAAATGTTATTAAATGTCTTTATGCCTCTTTTACAAAAATTCAGTATGCATTATACTTTTATACTTACACCCCTTACATTATACTTACACTCCTATTAATATTTGCACTATATTTTGGAAAACAAGAGTTTTATATAACCACCTATGTAGGTTATATTTATATAGAATGTCAGGGCTTTTGCTGAAAGTTATCTTTTCTGCTGAAAGGATTATTTTTGTCAATGTTACCTCTGTTCCACACAGTCCCACATGATCTCTCAAAATATTGACCTTATTCTATATAGCCTAGGAAAGGGGCAATGAAAGCTACAGAGGATAAGAGGAAGTTGAAAAGAAAAATCCCTTCCCATTTATTCCTCTGGATAAGTGAGCTTTCCATTCATAGAAATAATCAGTTGCATTGTAGTCAATTAGCTTTTACAAATTAATTGAGAGAAGTGAATTAATAAATAGAGAACATTTATAAAAGCTGAACAAAGTTATATGAGATAATGATAGGGCAGTTTTAAAACATTGTAAATATGAAAAAATAATATAATATTCCTTCCTCCTTCTATTTTTCCCATAATCCCCTCTGGGAGGAGATTGGGCTGAGAGAGAGTAAGTGACCCAAAGTGTTCACTGCCTTAAGTTATTTACAAAAAATAACAAAGACAGTAATAAATAAAAATAAATAGAATGTTTTCCTGTTTTTATTTTTAATCATCAATAGTTGCCAAGGTCCTATGAACATAATTAGTAATTGTATTTAAACATAAATTGTTACCCTCTTCCAAAAAAAGCCCAACTTTGGAATGCCTGCCCCATATACATTACAAATGCAAAAAAACAAAAAACAAAAAAACAATTAACAGAAGAAATTAGAAGATTAGCTCAGAGAAAATCAATATAGCTATCGCCATGTCAAGTGTGCCTTAAGTGTTAAAGCTGATAAAATAGTAATGGCTGAATTTTTGCTCTGAATTTTTTGGAACAATAAAGTATCTTTGTTTTTTCTTTCCATCTTGAATTAGACCAGGCCTTAATCATGTATTTTGAAACTCAGGTGATTGTACTAAGCATCCCTTCTTATTTAGGTATATTAATTTTGTTTTATCATAAAAGATAAAATACAAAACAGAAAAAAAACCCAAGAAGTATCCCTTCTCCAAAGATTGTGGTGGTATTGTACCTTAAGTATACCTGTTGGGCGTATGAACAAGAAATGTGTCTAATAGGGAAAGTTTAAGTTTAAGTTTAATGTGATTTATATGCTGCCCTATCTCCAATGGACTCAGGGCGGCTCACAACAGTAAAATACACAATGACATTAATACAATATGAAATTAAAAGTCCGAATTAAAACAGTTTAAAACAATTTAAAAACTGTTAAGAGACTGCAATTTAGTTGTGATGAGTCTCTTTTTATAAGGCTACTGATCATATATCCAGTGCAATTTAAAAGAGCCCCATCCCATCCCATATCACTTGAATGATATTGGTATAACCTGTTAATTGAAGACAGGGTTTCAGGTATCTAGTTGATCCTTAGTAATAACATTGCATTAATTATCTGATATGGATGAAAGGATTGCTAAAAATTTGCTTCAACAAGCCTATACAGGAAGAAGGGAAATAGTCCTTTTAATAAGTGCATGATTGCTACTCTTGAAAAACATTCTGACAGAGCAATTACTTGAAGAGAGGAAATGATATAGGAGTAAGATTAATAACTGCTATCTTTGTGCAAATAATGTGTCAATGTGGATATAGGTGAGATAGTGTGTGAATATATATATAATTTATGTCTGGCTGATACTGTTACTAAGCTTTAGCATCCTACTATAGACATCCACAGAGAACACTTAGTTAACTCTGTAGTATGTTCCTTACTAAGATGAGACATAAAATATTTATCTTGAAGTGGGAGCATTATTGCTGTTATCATCATATATCTCATTGATTGAGCGCCTTATGTTTGTTCTTTCAAAACTTAAATTTAGTTTGTGCCATATGTAGACATAGTTTCAGGAATTGAGATGAAAAAATATCTGTGTTATTTTTGAAGAACTGGTACCTTATGTATTCATAAAGTCAAGTTTGGTGAAAGAGTTTGCTAAAATATTATTTCTAATTCATGGACAATTTCAAAATACTTTACATATATCTGAGAATTGTGTTAGTAAAGCAATATTTAAAATAAAATAAAATAAAACAGTAGATATTCTTGAATTGACTGTGGATTATTGCATGTGCTGGTTTGAAAAATATTTTAATTAATAATGAAGTTAAAAACTGGGTTGCATAGATTTAAAATTAGGCGAATATCTAAAAGGTCTATATGGGTTCCTCAGATTTCTGATTTTGAGATATTTTCGTTTGTTGATACAGAAAAGGTCACACAATCCTTTCATTAGAATTGTCACTATTTTCATACCAATTTAAATATTACCTTAATTTCATATTGAGATTACAGGCAAGTCGCAATTAGTGCAGGTGTGAATCCTATGAAGTGATTGTATTATTTTAATTTGCCCTATTCAAAGTGATGTTTCTATGGAACATATGGTAATTGGTTCCAGCATAGTTGAAATTTTAAATCTAAAATTTTATATGTATAGTAATGAAATATTACAGTAAAGGATAGAAACAATATACTTATAATTTAAACTTATGGTTAATAAAGTCACTAAATAGTTATAGAAACAAAATAAAAACCAAAAATTATACCATTGATTCAGGGATTCCTACATCTTACTCTGTTAAGAGTATTGCTATGACTATGCCATATGACTAATTGAATGTCATTCAATTATATCCATTTTTTGCTCTTATTAATCATGAGCATCTTTTATAAACTTGTACTGTTTTCCTCTGACAGAATCTTCCTTTTCTCCATTTTACACAAACATAGATTAGCAATGTGTAATACCCCAATCACAAATGCACATGCACTAACCTCAATTGCATTAACTGAATCACATTAACAGTGACCCAGTATCTAAATTGAATAGCACATTATTCAAATTTGCATTAATTGTGACCTACCTGTGAATTGTGACACTGACTGAAGATGCAGTGTAAATACAGAATTAAAGTATGTATCAAAGCAGAGTTCTGTTTTCCCTAATAACATGATAAAAAGCAACACATATCATTTTGGTTCAATGCTTGCCAACAAATTCAGGTGTCAGTATAAGATTTGAAAGTACTAAGCCAAAACAAGGATAATGATTTGTGTGAGCATCTTTATTGATAGTAATCTCATTTGTTCTGTAACATGCGCTTGGAATTGGGGAAAGCAAATAAGTCCAAAATATTTCTTAAAGATGAAGTATTATAATACAAACTGTATTCCAATATGTAAAAATGTACATATGTTTTAAGTATACTTGGAACATTGCCCAGCAAAATAATCAATTACACTAATAATGGGAATAAGGTGTTATAAAAGAACTGTAAAATTTATAAAAGAATAGGATTACATTATGGAAGAAGATGTTGATTTTTTAAAAAAAAATCATTGGGATTCATGGGAGAATAACATTTCTTGTAAGGTATGTCGTTTTGACACATGCTAATAAAAACAAGAGCAAGGTATTGTTGTCATATTTTTATTCCATAAATTATAGTAAACCTGAAACATTTGTTGCAGTTAAAATGTGGGATTTTGCTATTATGTGAACTAAAGCTGTTCCTTGTGTTGCCACAGTCAATACTATCACTGCTTCTTTATCTCTATAAACAAGAAGCTCCTGATTTATATATTCATTCAAAGCAGGTAATGTTCACCTGACTTCATTATAAAGCTTTTAATTTTTAACTATCTGTTGCACTTTGACTGACCATGCATCTGATAAAAAGCAAAGCAGCAGGGTTGGTTTAAAATGGAGAAATAGTGAATCAGAAAATTGTTCTCTACTCAACAATCAGCTTTTTCTTTTCGTGTCTTCTTCTTTTTTTAAGATGATATTGGAACTATGCTACCTATAATATTTAATCATTTGTGTCATAAAATTGGCATAACTGTAACTGAATATGGCAAATGATTTTTCAGAATAATAATTTATCTAATTTTATACTTTGTTAGAGAATTGCATCAAAATCCTTGTGTTGTTAAGATCTTCATATTGTTAAAAGATAGTGTATTTATATAAACAGTTGATTGTCTGAGTGCATAGTGGCTATTTATCTGGTATAAATAGTTTGGCTTCTGTTTGTACAATTTCTCACATTTCATGAAAAATTAAGTCTATCTAATTATATGGATCTTCAGTTGGGTATAAATTTATGTGGTTATTTATACTCTTCCTTTCACAACTATTAAT